TCTAAACTAAGGTTTCCAAAGGTGGGCGGCAAAACTCACACTGACTTCAGGCCTCTTACATAACTCCCACTGTTACATTTAATGCTGTACCTTCAAGTACTAAAGTTGAGCTATTTATATGGCGTAAATTATGTGGCTTATCTTAAAATGTTGCATTTTTTCAGAATGCTCATTCTGTCAACTGCGAGCCATGTTCCGTTCAGCCAGTGTGCTCTAAGCATTTGGATGCCGGATAACCACATAATCGAAGGTTTGAACTGTAATTACTCGGTGCGTTCTGTTAAATTGAACAATAACTCCTCCAGTATCTTCAATAATTTTGATTTTATAACAGATTTACTTGGGAAAGTTCGGTTTGTTTTGGATATTAGGTTTAAAGATATCCGTACGCTGGAATTACAAAAATTCATTCTCTTTTTGGCTGAATGATCAATATTTTTTGTAATACTTAATGATTTTTTGCTGTTCCACAGAAATATGTTCAGAAAAAAATAACTGACAGATTGTAATCTAAATATATTTCTGAATGCTGTTAAAGTGGAAGGCAGAGAATAAGACTCTTGCAGGACGTTTAGTTCTATCTCAGTATTTGACCGGTTGCTTCCGTATTCAAGTGGGTGATATTGACATCAACTTGGCCTGCATGATTCATTTGATAGGTGTAGTTCTGCTAAGCATCTTTCGGTTGGTTCAGCACTTAAACATAAGCTTACACGAAATTCGGAACCTTAGGAGATAGTTCATTTCAGGACAGGCTAGTGAGTATGACAAGAAGGATGGTTATATGAGTGAGTTTGGTCCACAAATAAAAGAATCACTGAGTTCTACTCTTTATACTGTGTGCATGTCTAGAGTTGATATAATGAACATTCATGGCAACTCTAGCCAATAGCCACTGCATTTGGGCAAAAATCCCAAAACAGTGAGGTCAACAACACTTTGCGGACATGATGATAGTCATGGAGGGTCTATTTTGGTATGATCCCTGTGAGGTTATTCGGCCTGAAGGGGCGTTTGGGAGCTCATGCTCCCACGGACAATGGTTGAGACGCCTCTCTTATTACAGAAACGGTCGTCGATGAATTAATAATAATAATGTATCTCATATAAATTTACAAATTTACATGAAAATGCATGCCGTTTTTACAGGCACGATCAAGTATGATATAATATCAAATCGTAGATTGTCTACAAGTTAATCGTATTTCAACTGTTAAATATTCGATACATATAATACACTCATTTTCCGAATTAGGCCGTATAGTTATTGAATTGTACAGTTGTCCTCCAGGTTGAGCGGGAAAATCGACTTCGTTCCGTTTTTATCCCGTGGTTGTACGCATACGATAACCAACCAATATTGAGGTAAGTACACCTTTTACAAGGGATTGGAATCTGTTTTAGAAAAATTAAAGTGCTGAGGTGAATCATTAAATTGTATTGAAATAGGTAAGTGCAAGTATCATTAATAAATGCATTCATAAAGGAAACACCCTAGGGTAACAACATTCATTTGCAATGTATAATGCTACAGATATATCACAAACTATTATGATATCCACTTTTGGTTTTAATACAATTATCCTCATGCCAGTTGTTTTTATTTTATACCTTTTTGTGCATTTAGTGCACAACCGTACCCTTCAGAGAGTAGGAGTATAATAAGTAATGAAGAGCTATAAGATGTTAAGTTTAATGGAGTAAAATGAGGATCAAGTAAAGACGTTGTCAGAAAATAAGTGAGATAAGACATTGTGGAGTGGTATGAAAAGATCTGACGATAGACAGCAAGTTAATTTATAAGATGCCCCATAAATCTGAGCAGATCCCACATGGTCGCATCTCAACAATAGGCTTTAGTGGAAATGATTCACTACTTAGTGTAGTGAGGTCTCGTGGAATAACTGTGTTGGAGTCGATCCGTAGCTTTCTTTTTTGGATTAAAGGGACTCGATGAGGATAAGCAAGGCTCACGCAATTCCAAATTCACCAATAACTGCCGACAACCCTCTAATGAAGAACAGTTGAAAGACTACAGACAACTGAGGGACACCGAGTTACCACTTATTAAGGACAATACAGTTTGTCTTTTGATTTAATGTGATGTGCCTGATGCACATCGGGCCTTGGAGTAACGGTTTGGAGGGAGGAGGCAACCATTTGCTGTGTGAATGGATTTTTATCGGATTATATTAGGATCGAGACAACATAATGAGTCAACCCTCTAAGGCTTATGTCGCCATCTTTCAGATAGCCAAGGATTACTAAACAATCTTGAAACGTTACATGATCATGAATTTAAAGGCATGGGTAGTCTGATTGGGGGCATCCCAAAGAATGCATAACAGCGGCAGAGGTAGCTTCTCAGGCCTCCAGATACGTTGACGGTAACTTTGTGGTTGGATTGCCATGGAGTTACAGTCGCCTAAACATGCCATATAATTACTGGATGGCCAGCCATTAACTTGGTTGTCTTAGAAGATGTCTATTAAAGCCCGTATCCTACCAAGTAGGTATAAATAAGTCATGGTCAAGTATTTATTGAAGAGATACGTTGTAGAGTCTGCTGCAGTGTATGCTTATCCCGAAAACAGTACAGTTGTAAACACCCCACCATCAGGTTACAAATCCGAAAACACCTGAGAAGTATAGAGTGCTACTTCACTGTACATTTGGGTTCGGTGGTATTTTACTGTACGTATAATTGATACAGGGACAGAATGCTGCCAGCAATTTTTTTCGGAAACTTTCACGCTTCCGAGGTGATGCAATAGCACTTACCGCCGGCACAGAAAAGAACTTCTGTGGGTGAATTTTCCAAAACAGTACGGAGGAGCATTCCGTTTGCTATGGCGGACGAATGAAGATACGACCCGAAAGGCGGTGGATCAGTGACTCTATAGAAGTGGTGGAGTCTGTATCGCCATAAGAACTTGCATTAGCAGGAAAAGAAATAGCCTTAGAAAAGCACTCTGTCGAACCCAACTGACATTTGTCTTGTAGCACGGAGGAAGATTTCTTTGTTTAGAGAAGCCAAAAGTTTCCCTGTGGGGATATGCACCCTCAGAGAAGAATGTTGTTGATCAAGTATCTCACCGAGTACTCTTTAAAATGAATAGCTTAAGGTATGGTGCGAGGGCCCGTTATTCCTAAGTTGCCCAAAATCTGAATCCCTGGTGTCAGAAATAACCATGGAACCAGGTGACAGTCCGATGCAGATAAAGACTACGGCTGTGGTAAATGACAACTTTGGTGACTTTGGCTTAGGTAATATTCTGTATTACTTCTCAGAATGGATCAGGTTATATAAAGCAATAGTTTGCTAAGCTCGATTCAAATGCGTTTTGGTGGGAGTGATCTATTTCTTAAATCAGGTCCATTGAAGTTAGGTGAATTACAGCGCACTAGTTTGGATATCATATAAATGTTTCAGGTGGTTGAATTAAGAAGAGGAACTATGCTGCTAATGCCATCAGGTAGTTTAGGAGCACGAAAATTTAAGTCACTTTAACATGGAATCAATCCAATGCTATTAAACAGTTTGACCTATGTAGGCGGTCGAAACTCGTCTTAGCCCAATGAATGGAAACATGTGATAATACTGCCTTAGACAGGTTAAGTCGCAGAGTTGATTCTAAGACACTGCCACAACGTAGAAGGGCATATAGGTGCTACACAGGTACTGGCAACTGTCAGAGGAAGGTTTTGGATATCACGAGGCAGTATAGCAGTGAGAAAGATCATTGAAAATTGGATAAGGTCTATAGGGAGAAATACTAAGTCAGTATTCCGGCTGTTAGCACCCATACCGACGGCCAGAAGGGAGGATATCTGTCCTTTTTCTCAGTGGGTGATGACCACTTACGCCGATAACTTGATACTCGGTAAGAGGTCTGCAAAATGCCAGAGTTGTATTTTCGCTTGCCAGAAATTAACAGCAGTGCATCTAGAGGTAGCACACAATTTATTCATGTACTCCCTTTTAACGGCTCTGGTTAGTTGTACTGGTGGGAGACGACATCCATAGGAAAGATTCGGTGACTAAAGAACGAATTTTTAAGTACGTAAAGGGAGTTAGATTAGTACCAAAGGGAACGGAAACAAGAAAAAAGGTGCATAAGACTTTAGTGAGTGGAAGTAAAGATTATCATTTCACCTGACCACCTGCAAGCCATCAGGGCTACTTTTGAGAACGTATGACCAGTACCATTCGTAAATTTTTAGATGGAATTCTTAATGAAGAACGGTCAACTGATGATGACATACAGCTTTAATGATAGAAGCTGAAATTTTCATTGATAACAGACTTCTTGTTCCACTTACCTCGGACAATGAAAATCTCGAAGTGTTATCTTCCACTAGGCTACTGTTACTAAGACACAACTCGATTGGTATAAGTGTAAACTATCTTTTTGAAAAGTTCCTAACACGATGCAGACAAACTTACTATGCAGTCGACGTGATTTGGAAACGCTGGTTCCAGGAATATACCTCCTTGTTACAACAGTGACACAAATGGATGTAAATAAGTAGCAAAGTATAGGTAGGACAATTAAATATTGTCGAAGTAGAGTTTACTGGTAAGAATCAATGGCAAATTGGGCTCGTGCAACGAGTGCTGCTTAGTGAGGGTGGTTAAGTCACATAAGTGGAGGCGAAGATAGTTAGGGGAGAACTGAAGGTCGACAGGGAAGCCTACTGCAACCACCAGAGTACTTATGTTCACTCAAATACTTGATTCCTTGCCACTCAGTGCTCCCGTCGTATACGCTGACACTAAGTAGAGAGATGTGAACCGTTAAATTCACAAAAAATTAAATATCTGATTTTCCGCTGGTCAAAATGAATGCCTTAATCCGAAGTAACTGCAACTGTTATATCTCAGAAGTCGTCTGATACTATCTTTATCGCCATATTGGCCTTTCTGTTGAAATATCCTAAACACATCCGTGTAAACTAAAAGCGTTTCACTTGTAGTAACTACACTTCAATAGATTTCAGTTATCTTTCATTGAAAACTTTAATCTCCTCTTCGTTGTGCAGAAACTCGGTAACTACTAGGCGGGGATTTAACTTCATAAATTTCGATACAAATGGGAATTTGTAAGTGGGCTTATTGTACCCAATGTTCGATCAAATTTTATTCAGTTATCACTCATTCTACTTAAAATGTTTGATTTTTTAAAATTTTCAAGTCTTCTCTGAGTTATAAACTCTCACGAAATTTAATAGGCAATAAAGTGAAATTAATAATTATATCATGTCTCGAACTGCATCTCTTCCTCCTTTTTTACTCATATCTGTTTATTTAATCATCATAAATTGGTGTAACTGTAGCAAATGACTTTAAAAAGTCCAAGATCGTCCACAAATTGTTGTTATAATTATAGTAAACCATCTGCTATATGTAGTGAATGATTTCAATTTAGGAAGGTATGTTTCAAGGTGTTTGAAATTATATTATGTATTTGTAACATTTTGTATTCACTGTTGCCATTTCTTGAATAATCATATAACCCAAAAATGATCCTTTTCCGCTGAACTCAGTGTCTTTCACCACTAAACATTTGCATTTGTTCGACGACCGGGTTTTTAAATTTTACTGGTTAACTGCCTTATTCAAAGCGTTGCGTATACCTGTAGTATTCTCACAAATAACGAAAGAGTTCATATCTTTATACATCTAGATCTGCTACAAATTTAAGTAACACTTTTATTTGCTTTCATAGTCAATTACTATACTATTCAAGCTGTACATGTATCATGAGCAGATAGTAAGGACCAGTGGGTAGACGGTTAATTCTCATTGTATATTTATTCCGTTGACAGTACTGGTTTTTGCCAAAATTCTTGTAGTGGTTATTAGGGTACATTGTAGGCATTCTTGTCCATGTTCAAATTACCTGCAGATGGAACTTCAGTATGATATTTACTAATAAATATTCAATAAAGAGTATATGTTTTAACCGGTAAACTAAAAGTGGCAAACCAGAACCTACTACTTCAGCCTGACACCATTCTAAATTATAAAATCATGTAAAGGCCTAAACTGTGAATATTCGGACAATTTTTATTCCCATCACATTTAATAAACATTCTCATCTAGTAAAACAGTTACGAAGACAGATAACAAGGTCTAGTGAGTTTGTATCGAGACACATGAAAACTTGGTAGTAGAAGGCAGATGTTAATCAGACTAATTTTTAAGTATTCAGTGACATTACCTATCAGTTTTGACACTGGCTTGACATCTGGCAACCTATCAGATTATCTATTTATTGCTTGGCGGTTCGCTCCAATCGGAGTTACTGACGTAAGACGAGGCCACTGAAAGAGAAAGTCATGAAATATCAGCTGCTTTGATGATAGGTGTCTTTGTTTAGTCTCATAGACTATGTGGAGCAATATGGTCAGCAATAATTAGAGTGAAAGAAAGTGGATCGATGAGATGAAAATACGGCATCATTCATTGAAGCCTTGTTTCTTCTTTGTTTCAGCCATGTCTAGCAACGCTGACTGACTCGTTGGGGCCCATGAGATGCTTTGATTCTGTGCTTTAGGTCCACTGGTGACACATCTCCAGAACATTCCATGTGTGTCAGATGTGTTCGTTACATTTGACTGTGATATATGACTATTGAAAATGGAGAATATGAAGGAGACTAGCTGGTTTTAACACCAGACACTCACATTCGGCTCTTTGTGTTAACTTGCATAATACATGGACAGTACTGATGTTGGGCATCGAGCGTTAGGTAAGGAAAGCAAGTCAGCTGATGATGTGAAGCTACATCGATTGAGATGGCTAGGAAGCATATTGCGCTTGCCGAGACATTGGCATCCTCTTAGAGTTAGAAGTGGTCAAACCAAAACCAGAAATCAGTCCATGAAGTGTATGAAAGTTTGCTTGATCCAGCAGTGTAGGTAGGTGTATACTTCCTTGTTAGAGTCCCCGAGGTTCTAAGAACTAATGGTTTTGGGCTCATGGTGATCTGACTCAAAATCGCTCTCACTAGCGCAGAGGTATTCACTCTTTGTGGTGTGTGATATCCACTGATACCTTATTTCCTTGTATGTTATTACTATTACCTCCAAAAACATCTGCAGATTATAATTCTGTCTCCCTCTTTCCTCTACGTTTCTGTGCTACATAAAGTGTTGCAACCTGAACTTCTGTGCTAATTCCTGCGTTGGAGTGCATTTAGTCATGCAGTTCACTGCATTTCACTATCTAAGTGCTCACTGATATCCATCCAGTTATTCCTCCTCCACATATGGCCCTATCGATAAGAGAATCAGAAGTCTTTAGAAATATTTTCCCACATAAAGCTATTTCGTTGTAATTTGGTAGATGGCCACTAACAGTGGAATCCAGTTTGCTTATACCGTCTAATTTGGAAGTCGCTAGCTAGATAAACGTGCAAACACCAGTGAGTTATGGTGTGCCCACTCGGACTGGAACCGAACACCTATCGTTTCAAACGCCAAAGTGTTATCCACTGGACTATATGAATATCCTGGATTCTAAATCTGGTCACTATATTCCAAGAAGCATCACGTTAATACCCAGACATCATCTATCGCTCTGTACTAATACCCGACAAGTGATTACAGACTGTACGTTGTGCTCCAATATAATCAATCAATGGAAGATACAGAATTAAAGCTAAACAAACTGTTTTGTCAGAATTTTTGTAGTCAGTGAAACAAGTGATAGTGTGACGGAATAAAAAACACTAGAAATTACGTCTTTTGACTGCTTAAACAAAGTTTATTTTTGAGAATCACTTCACCTCCAAAGCTGTAAGTTGTGAATATGTTCCACGACATCAACCAGATTACCCAAGAGGCAGGCAAGAAATCAGATGGTTTAAACTGATTCATAGCGGGTAGACGACTGATGAGCTCGATCCCAAATATGCCTAATGGCCATCCGATGTATAGATCATTTCGACTAGGTTGGTAAGCTCCACTATTTGAGTTGAGTGGCATAGTGCTATACATCTCAATCAACCATGTGTTTGGGACTCAATCTTGTATTAAATCTGAGACTTATCTCTCCTCACCGACTGACTGACTGGTTTCAGCATCGAACTTTGCACAGATGTGCAGCAGTTCGAGTCGCCACACTCCACTTAGCGCATAAAGGAAGAAAAGAGGGCAAATAGAAATTCAAATCAGAGATAGTTCATAGAGACATGAGGCAGAAAGAATAGTAATATCGAAGAACCACATAGTTTTACTGGATACTATAAGTCACAAGGAGTGGATGCATCTAACTGTGCCAGTCATTGAGAACGAATTTGAGCTATAACACTGATTGTCTCCGGCCTTCATTGATTTTTACCATCACGAAGGACCCCAACCAGGAAGCCAGTCCACACATCCCTACGTGACTGTCTGGCTTAAACTAGCTGTTGTGGATTCCATTGACTGGTGAAGCCATGTTTGAGTTTGACCACCAATGACTGTTTTCTGACCTGATCCATCCTATGTCAGCTAACATTGCCCGTCAGTCGAGGAAGGCGATGGCTAGGCATACGTGACACATGTCCTAACTATCAGTCCATTGATTTCCCTTCTTACCTTGCACTTGACCGATGCCTAACCTCAATATTACTCACCCTATTATACCACTTCACATGGGAGACAGAACACAGACACCTATGATCAAAGACAGCTAGTTGGCCTTTTCGTATCTTCCACTTTCAATGGCCATGTCACACTCACAGCCATAAAGGAGGACGGAGAGGACTGCTGTTTTTAATATGACCAGCTAACTGCCTTTCTGTTCGCATTTTATTACCCCCCTCTCTTTCGTCTCTTCTTCTCTTGTGTAATCAGTTCGCATTTAGAAAATGTTTATAAGTGAAATTAAATGCTTCCTTCACACACGGAAATAATTTTGCACGTCGATGAATTCTTATCTTGTTTTGTTTTTTGCTTTAGTTTCACCTATTTTTTTCCCGTACTATAGTTTCAAATCATTTCTTCTCGAAAGACGCTTTACCTTTGACTTTTCTCCTTCTATAGTGACTGTATTTCAATTTATTGTTCAATAAGAGATTAATAATTCCCACTGTAGTATTAAGAACACAATATTCAGCGAAGAGACTCTTTTCAACGAATTTACTATCAAGCTGTACAGTCGTATATATATGGTGTTTTTTAAGAAATCATATCCGGTGAGGGAATTGAATCATAGGTGTGAATACATGAAATAATAATAATAGTGTGAAATGCAATCAGAATATTTGTGATTTTAATCATAGTTAAATGTCAAGTGGCAAAATAATTAATGTCATATATAGAATAATACATAAGGTGTATAGATATTGTTGGAAAGGGGTGCATAATTATAGGATCAGTAGACGAATATAAAATGTTACATAACATGGTGTGAAATTTGATTAGATAGAATTCAATAGTGTAAAAATAAAAAATATAAAAATTAATAATTTTGGGTTTAAAATGACAAGTGGGTCAAGTGAAAAAGATTCAGAGTAAGAATAGTAAAAATAATAATAACCGTAGTAATAAGGGAAAAGTACATCGAATAACTAAATAAAAAAAATACATAAATAAATAAATGTCTATCCCTCTACGGCCAAGGCAGAAGCAGGGATTGTACATACTTCTTTTGTACACGAAGGTCTGGCTTGCTTAAAGTCATGAATGGCCAAGGCCTCCTCCGTCTTTAGAAGTCTGTAACGGAAAAAATGCAGTCGGCAAGTTAGCATGGATTCGGCAGATGATCTTAAAATCATCGTTAGGGTTGACAGAGTGACAGAAGTCGATCAGGTGTTCCAAAATAGAACTTCGCACACACTTCCTTTCTCCCTTGCAAAACCATGTGGCTGGAATATGTTCTCGTATCCTTGTGGAAAGCGTCCTCTGACTACGGCCAATGTACCTTGCTCCACAAGACCAGGTGAACTGATAGATGCACATGGAGGCGGCCAGACAGGGGAGCTTATCTTTTACAGAGGTAGAGAACAACTTGCGGCTAGTGAACCTCATATGTAATTTTGCTTGACATTTAACTATGATTATAATCGCAAGTATTTTAATTGCACTTCATATCTTTGACCCAATTCCCTCAC